GCATTAAACATGGTAAATAACTTCCCATGTGTATATAAATCCAGACTTTAAAATCTGAACTTCAAGTGTATTTGGCTCTTGCCTCCACCTAATACCCTCAAAATGACATTTCTAACAACCTGGATACTCTGGTAAAGGGAACGAAGGAGTAAAATAAACCTTTTGATCCTTTTATTAGTTTAAAAGTCCTTTCTGCTGGTTTAAAGTTTTGGTTTTAAATTTATTACAAATTATTTTCCATGGTTGAAGTTTCCTAATACTTCAGCTAGAGCAGTGTATGGAGTTTTGAGTTCATCTACAGGAAGATAAACACTCATGCAGGGGTAGAACAAAGTTTAACTGACCAATTCCTTGGAGGGATTGTAGTACAAAGAAAGATTAAATAGACTGACTCTTCATTCTCTGGAGATGGACGTAGATACAACAAGTAGGAATAGACCATTGAGTCCCTTGAGACTGCCTATAGCTGATCTCATTCAAATACACAAAATTCTTACAGGAATCAACAGGGTAGATGCAAAATGTTTCCACTGGCTGGGGTGTACAGATCCAGGGCAGAGTTTAAGAATATGCAGTGGACCACTCAGGACTAAGAAGAATTTCTTCACTTGCGTTCATGAAGGCTTGGAATTTTTTGTCCCCGAGGCTTCAGAGACTCAGCAATTTAGAATGTTCAAGACCGAGACCTTACAAATGTGAGAATTAAGAGCAGTACAGATTCATCCCCTACAGCCTGCTCTATCATTCAATATGATGTAATCAAGGCCTCGAATCCATACTTCTGCCTACCCACCTTCAGCTCTCTCATTCATCGAGAATCTAACTAACTATGCCTCTACCATTGTTAGGAGAGTTCCAATGACTCATAACCTTCAGAAAATATTCTCATCTCCCCAGATGTTTTGCCAAATCATCCCCGAATTCTAGTCTCTTCCACAAGGAGAAGAATTTTTTCATTATCCACTCTGCAGCAATTGATTCTTACATGTTAAAAACATCAAGGGATATGGGGATTGTGCAGTAAAATGATGCTTAAATAGAGGTCAGTTATGATCTCAATGAATGACAGTGAAATCCAGCAGGACCGAATAGCCTACTCCTGCTCCATTTCTTATGCCACAAGGGACTGCACTCAAGATGAATCAAGTCACAAATGCAAATTAACATGTTGATATCATCTTGGCAAATTAAATAAATTACGAACAGCATTTGTTTATAAATTTGGGCTTTTTAAAAACAATAATCTCTAATAGATGTGTCTATTTGAGTTACTCTCCTGAGCTGGCATGCCTAGCATTCACAAAAAAACTGATATAGTGAAGATGGAGATGGGCTGGCCACTTGGCTGGGATGTCTGACACTCACTTACCAAGGTAAATTTTCAACAAAGAACTGGAGTGTGCTCTCATGGGGGTCACAGAAATTGCTATAGGAACACTCTGAAGGCTTCACTTATGAGTTCTGACATCAAATTCAAGTCCTGGTGCAACCAAATAATAAAAAAAAATGATGTGGCTCTTTAGAAGGCAAGTGCATTTGAAGCAGAGAGAAAATGCAAGTATAAATCTTTACTTTTTTGAAACTTAGTCTGCTGTTTCCGTTCTACTCGCAGAATAACTGTCCAGATACAGTTTGGCCTTAGTAGTCACGCACTCAAACAGTCATGTGCCCATAAGAACCCATCCAAGCACCTCTGACAATGGCTACCTTCGCCTTGAAGGGCAAAGACAAAGGTAATCTCTACCAGATATGATTCGTGTTCAAAAACCTATGCACGAGCAAACAAAAAGTGTAGCCTTTAGAAGCTCAGTCTTCAGCATTCCTTAGAAAAAAAGGATCTAAGTAAGAAAAATATGCTAAAAACTGAGATATTAAGCTTTCGTATCCATGCACAATGATTTGAGAACAGTGCAAGCTGATGCATTTATACTCTCTTCAAAAAGTCTGTTTTTTAGTCACAATAATAAGAATGTAGCTTCAGAAGTGAAGGCAATCTCTTGATATGAGATTTACATTCAACATACATGCTATTTCAAATACCATAACAGCAGAAAGCAAACCATCAAGATGACCATTCGATCAAGCTTTTTCTGAAGGGCAGAAAATATCAGGACACAAGTGCCATTTCAGAGATTCTGTTTAGCAAAAAACGCCTTTGTTTCTCCACATATTGGATTAACGCAGAGCGGACAACGTAGACTCAGTTGTTTGGAAGAAGTTTCTGCTGATTTTAGGTGTTTATCAACCAAATCTGCAAGGGCCTAGAAAATAAGAATTGGTAGTTTATTAGGACAAAAAAAGTGTCTTTACTCAGAATCAATAGTATTAAGCAATAAGAGCCACAATTACCACAAATTAAATTAACAGGTTATGCAGCAGAACATGGTGTTGATAGTATACAATTTAATGGCTGATGATCCCATTTCTCTGCTGCTATACATAATCATAGTTCAACTCAGAGCACCCATTAGTATCACACTTTGTTAGTTTGTAGAACAATCATCCCTACAACTGCACCAGAACAGGAGGAGTGGGGAGGATTTGAGGATCCACTGGAGTAACTGCCAGAATCTTGGTCTTCATATGACATCTGAATTACAGATCCACACAAT